CCTTCACAGATACTGCCAGACCTGCTGAGCTTTTCCAGCAACTTTGTTTTGTTCCTGATTTACAGCATCTGCAGTTCTTTTGGTTTTTATGACTTTTAAATACTTGTTGAGTAAATAGTGTACTTTAATATGAGTACATTTAAATATGTAGATTATTTTAAGTACTTTAATATTGAGTACTTTTAAAAAGGTATTGAGTACTTTAATGTTGAGTGCTCTAATATTGGATACTTTTAAATTTGTATTGAGTATTGCATCTCTCAGCCAAATAATTTAACTACTGAACAACACTACCAGAACACACTTTTCTTCAATATTGTCACCATAACTTAATCTTTATCTTTTTGCTTAACATCTGGTTATGATTTTCAATTTAGCACTTCATGTTTCCATGAAATGTTTAGTGATTTTTATATTAAACTGACATCACATCAGAGCTGTTCCAATCTAACTACATCACTGACATCTCGCCAATTTTTGTTCTAATTACATTTCCTTCTAACTGATGTTTTTCAAATTTCCTCTTTACATTATCAGGAATAAATGCTTAGTATTTCAAACTGCCCATAGTATTATTACAGTGTAAATGTGATTTGGAACTCATTTTAACTCCTGCTATTTGTTTAACTATATACTCAGCACATTCATTCTAAACCAAACCATTGAAACACTGAGCAAAACAGTCGTAAGACCAGACATTTTTTATGTCGTCTCACCACAACTAATCTTTATCTGTTGTTCATATCACAGTGATCATTTCCTATTTTCTAGTTTTTTTTTAATGAAAATGTTTAATTCTTTATTCTTTCATAGGACGTAGGCATTGCTGGCAGGGCCAATGCTTGTTGCCCATCCAGAATTACTTTTTAACTGAATGGTTTGAAAGGCCATTTCAAAGGGCAATTAAAAGTTAGGCAGTGAATCTGGAATCACTTGTTGGCCAAATGAAGTAAGAACAGCAGATTTCCTTTCCTCAAGGACGTGAGTGAACCAGATAGGTATTATGGAAATCAATGACTGTTTCATGGTAGCATCACTGAGATAAATTTATATTCCAGATTTATTAATTGGATTTAACTTACTGCAGCCAAGATTTAAACCCACATCTTCAGAGTTTTAATCTGAGCCTCTGAATTATTAATTAATGATTGACATTACCAAATCACTATCATCTCCCTCCTTGGTTACAACTCTTAACTGGAACCACAACAAATCTGTTCCAGTACAACTATGACACTGGCATCAAGCCAATAATGTTGAAAGTTGCTCAGGACAGATCCAACTTAATCAATTACTTTCCTATCAGCCAACTCTCATATATCAACAAAATGACGCAAAGAGTTGTCACATAAGAGTGGGCGACACGGTGGCACAGTGGTTAGCACTGCTGCCTCACAGCGCCAGGGACCTGGGTTTGATTCCAGCCTCGGGCGACTGTCTGTGTGGAGTTTGCACATTGTCTGCGTGGGTTTCCTCCGGGCGCTCTGGTTTCCTCCCACAGTCCAAAGATGTGCAGGTTAGGTGGATTGGCCATGCTAAATTGCCCGTAGTGTTCAGGGAGGTAGAGGGTGTATATTAGGTGGGTCATAGGGGGATGGATCTGGGTGGGATGCTCTGAGGTTCGGTGTGGACTTGTTGGGCCGAAGGGCCTGTTTCCACACTGTAGGGATTCTAATTCTAATTTCATACTGTCAAGCTTCACTGTCAGTATTTCACTGACAGCTCATTCATCAAATCTTGATTTGGATTCAGCCAGGATAGCTCAGCTCCAGACTTCAATATTGACTTAGTCAAAACATGGACAAATAAGATTAATTCAAGGGAGAAGATGAGAGTGACTACCCTTGACATCAGGCAATATTTGTCCAAGTATCATGTCAAGGATCACAAATAAACTTTGTCAATAGAAATCAAGGGGAAACCTCTCCACTGGTTGGAGTCATAGCAAGATGGTTGCAATTGTTGGAAGTCAATCACTTCCATCCGAGGACAACGTTTTGGGAGTTTCTTAGAATTGTATCCTAGGCCCAGTCATCTTTAATTGCTTCATCAATGATCTTTCTTCCATCATTTGGTCAGAAGTTTGCAGATGACACCAAGATTGGAGGTGTAGTGGGCAGCAAAGAAGGTTACCTCAGAATACAATAGGACCTTGATCAGATGGGCCAATGGGCTGAGGAGTGGCAGGTGGAGTTTAATTTAGATAAATGTCAGGTTCTGCATTTTGGAAAAGCAAATCAGGGCAGGACTTATACACTTAATGTAAGATTCTGGGGAGTATTGCTGAACCCAGAGACTTTGGGGTGCAGGTTCATAATTCCTTGAAATTGACATTCACTGACATTACCATTGCTGAATGTCTCAGCTTCAATGTTCTGGGGGTCTTCATTGATCAGAAACTGAGCTGCACCAACCACATAAATGACATAGCTACTACAGTAGGTTAGAGGTTGGACATCTGTGGAAGATAGGACATCCTTTGAATCCCAAAGGCATTCCACCTTGACTTGTGCAAGATGCAAGTTAAGCATGAATGTTTTCCATACAGTATTCTGCACTGCCAGCACGGCATCATCCAAGAAAAATTTATCTGCCTGATTAGTAGTCCAGTGTCAACTTAAACACCCATCACCTGTGCACTGTAGTTGCAAATGTGTCTAAATGATATTGCATGCAACTCACACAGAATAGAATAACAGAATTATTATGATGTAGAAGGAAGCAGTTTGGCCCATCATGTCTGTACCAGCTCCCCAACAGCATTATGGCTTAGTGCCAATCTCCTGCCTTGTCTCTATAACCTTGCACATTATATCTATTCAAATAATCATCCAGACCAATCATGGCTTTGAAACCCTCTTATGATATTTCCCCTTCGCTATTTTCTGTCCAAGGAGTACCAAACCATTCTGATCTATCCTCGTCAATGATGTTTCTCATTCTGGAACCATTTTTTGTAAATCTCTTCTGCACTTTCTCTTCCTTCCTTCCACACCCGGAACTGTGTACATTACTCCAGCTGAGATCTAAGAAGTGTCTTATATAAGTTCAACATTACCTGCTTGCCGTTGTGCTGTGACACTATTCTTAACCATTATGCCACTAATAATAATTATGACTTTAGTTTATCTTGCTGTCGTAGTTAAATGTGTACAGTCGTTTTGGAACATCCCTTTCCGTTAAGGTGTACCAACTAATTTCCAAATCTTAAATCTCCACCTGTTGTAGAAGTTAAAAGCTGAATCAACAATATGACTCATTTACAGTACATGTTATTTTCCTATATCTGTGAATAATAGTGAATTTAGACAGCTGTAATTCTGAAACTCACAACATTCTATTTATTATGCTCTAATATAATTTCACATTCAAGGATTGAAAATAGCAGCTACAGTTTTTACATTGTCACTTTCAGAACTTCCTGTTACTACATGGTTTCTCAATTCCATTGGTCTATCTTCCAGACAGTATACATTTAAACAATATCAATTTTAGTCAGTTATTCACAATCAGCAAAGTTTCTCTGGTGTCATCAGCAGGTTAGAAATCTGGGAGTTTTCTTAAGGAAACAACTTGAAGTTGTATTTAGCTTCTCCTCAGCAGCATTTCAATTACCAGTACACAGACAGCTTCCCTAATAGGATGAGAAATGCAATCACAGTGATAATGTTAATCTAAAATGTGGTGTGCATAAATTGTATGAGTGTTTTTTGAATCAGCTTTTGACAAAGACTTAAACAATTCTCACTGTATAACATTAGGTTTTGGAGAAAAAAACTCCTGTAATGTAGCACACAGTGCAATCTTCTTAGGCATTCTTAGAGTCATAGAAATGTACTGTGTGGGAACAGAGCCTTTGGTCCAACTCAACATGCCGACCAGAAATCCTAAATTAACCTAGTTCCATTTACCAGCATTTGATCCTTATCCCTCTAAACCTTTTTTATTCATAAACTCATCCAGGTGCTTTTTAATTGTTATAATTGTACCAGCTTCCACTACCTCCTCTGACAACCCATTGCTTACAAGCAGCACCCTCTGCATGAAAAAGTTGCCACTTAGGTCTCTTTTAAATCTTTTCTCTCTCACCTTAAACCTATGCCCTCTAGTTTTGCACTCCCCTACCCTGGGGAAATGCCCTTGACTATTCACCCTTTCCATGCCCCTCATGATATTATAAATCTCTGTAAGGTCGCCCCTCAGCCTCTGATGCTCCAGGAAAAATAGCCCCAGTCTATTCAACCTCTCCCTATAGCTCAAACCCTCCAACCCTGGCAATATCCTTGTAAATCTTTTCTGAACCCTTTAAAGTTTTGTAATGTCTTTTCTCTAGCAGGAAGACCAGAATTGAACACAGTATTCCAAAAGTGGCTTAGAAAATTTTAAAAAAGAAGCAGAAGTAGGCCATTCAGCCCTTTGAGTCTGCTGCGCTATTCAAATGATCATGGCTGATCATGCAACCCAGTGCCCTGTTCTTGCTTTCTCCCCATTTCCTTTGATCCCTTTAGCACTAAGAACTATATCTAGTTCCTTCTTAAAAACATTCAATGTTTTAACCTCAACCACTTTCTGTGGCAGAGAATTGCGCAGGCTCACCACTCTCTTGATAAAGAAATTTCTTCTCACCTCAGGCCTAATTGGCCCACTCTGTTTCCTTAGACTCTGACCCCTGGTTCTGGACTCCTGTGTCAACAGATACACAATTCCGGCATTTACCCTGTCTAGTCCTGTTGGAATTTTATAGGTTTCTATGAGATCCTCCTTCATTCTTCTAAAATCTACTGAATATAGTCCTAACTGATCTAGCTTCTCTTTATGCATCAGACCTGCCATCCCAGAAGTCAATCTGATAAATCTCTGTTGCACTCCCTCCATAGCCAGAACATCCTTTCTCAGATAAGGAGACCAAAACTGCACACAATACTCCAGGTGTGGTCTCACCAAGACCCTGTACAATTGCAGCAAGACATCCCTGCTCCTGTACTCGAATAATCCACATCTGTAATGTATTACATGCAACAACAGTTAGGCTTAGAAGCTTGGAGTGGATTGTCCAACAGATTTTATTCTTATACCATAATTTGCATAACTTAGTGTAATTTATTTTAGGTAGAATTTACTATTTGAAATTAAATTTGATGAAATCATAGGGTACTGCGTTGATTTCAATTGAAGCTGAATGCCTCAGTCAAGGTAATTGAGTTGTATTTCTACAAATCCTGTAGCTTAAAACCCCACAGTATACACTTCTGGCATGTAGACAGCACAGTACTAATGCTAAATGTGTATTAAAACAAAGTAAAAAAGAGTTGTGTAACATTGGTAGTCAGTTCATTCTGAGTAGAGGCTATCTTTTCATCATTACTGCTGTGCATCAAATGCTGCACTGACTACAGCTGATGCAGAACTGGTTATAAACTTAAAATACTTCAAAGAGTATATGGAGAGCATGTTGTATTGACTGCAAATACAGTAGCTCATGTCAGAAAAACGGTTGGCCGTCTTTTCAAATCCTTCTTTAGCCATTGTGTTGCATGTTCAGGCCAATGAACTGAGATGTGCATATTGCTATGCCCACACCCAAGGCAGGTTTCCTTGTTTAGCACGGTTCCAGATGCGATACCCCAAATCATGAGATGAACTGGCTCTCTGACTTTATTCGCTTGCTGCCACAGTTGGTTACAATGAGGCTAATTTATTTTTATTTGATACCTTTCTCCTTGACCCAGTGAATGTTTGAAAATGAATAATATAACCAGGCTTTCTTGAGCCAACAAAAGGTGAGTTTATTAATTGCTAAATATAAATGCAAGAAGAATTAGTAACATAAAATGTACACACAGATTAGAAATAAGAGATGAGTCAAAAAGATATAAGTATCTATGAATTGTTCACAAAGGGCAGAAAGTTCAGCATTGCTGCTATTTGAGTGGAGATCTGAAACAAAACCAGAAATTGCTGGTGAAACTGAACAGGTCTGGCAGCACCTGTGGAGAGAAAGCAGAGTTTTGGGTCCAATGATTCTTCATCAGAATTGTTTGTAGCTAGGAAAGCCTGGTATTTGTGCTGGAGCTGAGTTGGGGGAAGGGGGGAAGGAAGGGGAGAAGTGAGTGGATAGGTGTGGTTGGAGCTAAGTGAGAGAGAGATATGAAAGGGGTAGGTAGACGAGAAGATTATGGAGAGCAGGCCAGGACAGAAGAAAAGCTGATTAAGAGATAATAAGGGTGAGATAATGGGTGAAAGAAAATTTTGTTCTAAATTAATAGTGTTGTACATATACTGCTAGGAAACTTGAACAGAATAAGGTGAAAAATGCACCCGCACACTTTCAGTGGTGAATCTCATTTGTTGGGAGGTCATATTGGGAAAACAAGCACAAACGATCCATGATCTGCCAACCATTAAATTAAACTTATGTCTAGGCAGCCAATACATGCTGCCAGTGCTTAATGCTCTGAGTGGCAGTGCTCAAATGGAAAACATAACCTTTATCTAATTCAACTGAATAAAATGCCAATGGGTATTTTGTTTACTTCTCAAAAAGCTCATTGTTGTAATTACTTTATGAAATATAGCATGGAAATCCTTTCACCACTATTATTCTATATAAGGCATTTGATCCTGAGATGAACTTTGGACCACGTACCAGTGCCATTGCTAAGGCATTAATTTTCACTTTAGTAATTTTGTCTGACTCTACCTCACCGTAGCTCATTCATTGCTTAAATCATCATCAATGCAACTTTGATGTGATTATTCCAATCCACTCCTGACCAGCCTCCCACTTACTGCCCTCCATAAACAAGAGTTCATCTAATGCGCTGCTGCCCATTACACAGGTCATGCTAAGTCTTGATAACCAATCACAACTGTCATAACTGATCTACTTTGGCTCCTGGTTAAGCAATGCTTCAATTTTTAAAATTTCCATCATTGTTTACAAATCTGTCCATGGCCTCACCTCACCAGAATAACTGCACTCCTCCAATTCTGAGCTGTTCAGTATCCTTGATATTTAATTGCTCCATCAATTCAATCTATGTTTTCAGCTGCCAAGGCCCAGACTCTGAAATTTCCTTCCTAAATATTTCTCTCTCTTTCTGTTCCTTCAAATATGCCTCTTTGGTCAAGCTTTAGTTCATCTGACTTATTTCTCCTTATGTGGCTCAGTGTCAAACTTTGTTTGTTAGCGCTACTGTTAAATGCTTTGGGATGCTTTGCTGCATTAAAAGCACTAAATAAATACAGCTGTTGTTCTTTTAAAATACAGTGGATAGAATTTTAAATGTTCTTGCTGAAGCATTATATGATAGCTTTGCTCATCGTGAATTCCAGGCTTATATATATATCCGTTGTTCTTTGGAGATGTGTTCGGCACCGTTTTGCAAACAGTCTCAAACTTGAAGAATTGGTTGCAGTGAAAAATAATTTCAAAGTGCACTGTTATAAAGCATGTGTTTATTCCTGGACATCAGATGGACCACACAACCTGCAATGCTACTACATTAAAGAAATTGAAAGAGGCTTGAACTGTGCATGGAATCCTGGAAAACCCTATACAAATACTACTACCTACACACTAAAAATACGCAGGAGGTGAGTTCATTTGGATTTTGTCTCAGAAGATACATTTTAATTTGAATTGAGTTGAGTTGCTTTTTGAGTTGAGTTGAGTTATTTTGAGCAAACTAATATATACATGAATTGGAAATTTGCAAATGCTGTGAACTTGAAGTGAAACTGTTGAGGAAAATGTCAATGTAAAGTATAAAGTGGAAGAATTCTTAAAATGTGTACATAATAGCTTTCCTGCTGTGTACGATTACAGCCCAATGGGGAAAAGAGCAGTGTTGGATTTGATTTTGGGCAATGTTTCAATGGCGAGCATTTGGAAAATAGTAGTGACAAAATCATTACGTTTAGAACAGTTGTGGAAATGGAAGAAGGAAACTCAGGCATGAAAATATTCAAAGCAGAGGAGGGTTAATTTCAGTGAGTTGAAAAGTGATCTGGCCTAGGCAGATTGGCAAGTAAAACAGCAAATGTGAGTCCAAAGAGGAATATTTCAGGAAAGGATAGACACAGTTGATGGGAGGAAAAAGAACAGCATCCCAAAGCCTGGATTCCAGGATGGCTGAAGTTATAGAGATAAAAGTGTAACAGTGAAAGGACATGCACCAGATTTACAAATGAAAGAACTAGACCGAATACAAAAAGTACAGGGTAAACTGGAAAGGAAATAAAAGCAACAAAGGGAGTATAGGGGACCAGACGAACATTTGACATTAAGATGAAACCACAATACTATTATAGATATAGTAAAAAGATAGTCAAAGGAAGAGTCCAGTGAATTAAAAACAACAAAGGAGAAATTCCTTTAGTGGCTCAGAGATTGGCAATGCTGCCTCACAGCACTAGGGAGCCAGGTTCAATTCCAGCTTTAGGTGGCTGTCTGTGTGCACATTCTCCCTGTGTCTGCATGGGTTTCTTCTGGGTGCTCCGGTTTCCTCCCACAGTCCAAAGATATGTAGTTTAGGCAGATTGGCCATACTGCAATTGCCTATAGTGCTTAGGGATGCATAGGCTAGGTGCATTAACCGCGTTAATGTGGGGCTGGGGCTGGGTGGGATCCTGTTTGGAGAATTGGTGCAGACTTGATAGGCCGAATGGCTTCCTTCCACACTGTCGGGATTCTATGAAATTCCTGTGGAGGCAAGCTGGAGTACGAAAATAATATTTTGCATCAGTATTCATTAAAGATTTGATTGATTGATTGACTGCCACCTGTACCAAAGTACAGTGAAAAGCTTTGTTTACGAGCAGTACAGGCAGATCATAGTAAGCAAAGATGTACAGATCAAAAAGACTTAAGACAGAGGCATACAGGTCATTGTCACTGTAAATAAGAAGTTTGTGGAGAAATTGGATAGGATAAAATAACTAAATTGAGTTAAGGGAAGCTACTGAAAGCGCTGGTAGTGCTCAGCCAGCCTAACACTGGTGGTGGGAAACATTTAGAGTCAACAATCCAGGACAAAATCACTTGGCATTTGGAAACATGTGGGGTACCTCCCTTGGGGATGTGTTGGCCTAATGGTATTAGTGCTGGGCTATTATTCCAGCAAACCAAACAATGTCCTGGAGTCCAGATCCCGCCACAGCAGATTTTGGAATTTGAATTTGGTTTAAAAAAAATCTGGAATTAGGAGTCTAATGATGATCAAGAAGCCATTGTTGATGGTCAGAAAAACCCATCTGGTTCACTACTGTCCTTTAGGGAAGGAAACTGCCATCCTTACCTGGTCTGGCCTACATGTGACTCCAGACCCAGAAGAATGTGGTTAACACTTAACCGCTCTCTGGGCAATTAGGGATGGGCAAAAAACGCTGGCCTAGCCAGCGACGCCCTCATCCCATGAATGAATAAAAACAATACATGAAAACCAACTTGTTAAGGATATTTTTGAGTTCTTTGATAAAATAATTGAGCCGATTAATGAAGGTCTGGTGATTGATGTGTGTATGGGCTCTTGGGAGGCATTTAACAGGACACCACAAAACTATCTTCTTATAAAGACTCAAGTCTATGAAGTTATAGACACAGTGCTTGTGTGGATACAGAATTGACTAAACGAAATATAACAGGGAGAAGAACTGTTGTTTCTCAAAATGGAGAGAAGTAATTAATGGTGCTTCCAGAGGTCAGTGTTGCAACCACTTCTCTTTTTTGATGTCTAATGATAAGTTGATAGTAGAACAGACTCAAGGAGCTAAATGACCTACCCCAGTTTTTCTATTCCAATTAAGATAATTTGCAAAAGAATCTGAAGCACTGCCAACAAAAAGAATTGATCCAGCAAGCCCAAATCATAGAACTACAGAAGTATTATGGCACAGAGAAGGCATTCAGCCCATTATGTCTGCATCAGCTCTTCAGATAAACATCATTACCCAGTGCAAATCTCTTGCTTTTTCTTTCTACCTTGCACATTATTTTGATCCAAATAATCATTCAATACCTTCTTGAATGCCTCAATGAACTTGCCTCCACCACATTTCCAATGCATTCCATATCCTAACTATTCATTGAGTGAAAACATCTTTGCAAATCACTTTAATCTATGCCTGTTGGTTCTTGATCCCTCTACAAGTGGGAACAACTTCTCCCTATCTACTCTGTCTAGCCCCTCATTTTGAAAACCATATCTCTTTTCAACCTTTTTCTTTTCAAGGAGAACTGTCCAAACTTCATCAATCTGTCTTCAGAACTGAAATTTCTGATCCCTGAACCATTTTTTGTATACAGCTTCTGTACCCTCTCAATACATTCACATCTTTCCTATAATGTAGTGCCCACAACTGTCCAAAAAACTTCAGCTGAGTACAAAAGCAGTGAAAGATCTTTGCATTTTGTGAAAAGGGCATTTTGCTAAAACTATACCAGGCACTAATCAAACCATGAAAGTAAAACAAAGAACTGTGGAGGGTGGAGATTTGAAACTCATTAAAACAGAAATTGCTGGAGAAACTCAGCAGATCTCGCAGTGTCTATAGCAAGAAAACAGAGTTAACATTTCAATGGGTCAATAAACTCGAAGCATTAACTCTGCGTTCTCTCCACAGATACTGCCAGCGCTGCTGTGGAGAGAACGCAGAGTTAATGCTTCGAGTTTATTGACCCATTGAAATGTTAACTCTGTTTTCTTGCTATAGACACTGCGAGATCTGCTGAGTTTCTCCAGCAATTTCTGTTTTAATGAGTTTCAAATCTCCACCCTCCACAGTTCTTTGTTTTACTTTCATGGTTTGATTAGTGCCTGGTATAGTTTTAGCAAAACCTCACTGCAAAGATGTTTTCACTCAATGAATAGTTAGGATATGGAATGCACTGGAAATGTGGTGGAGGCAAGTTCATTGGGATATTCAAGAAGGTATTGAGTAATTATTTGGATCAAAATAACGTGCAAGGTAGAAAGAAAAAGCACTAACACACAAAAACAAAAATTGCTGTAGAAACTCAGCAGGGCTGGCAGCATCTGTGGAGAGAATGCAGAGTTAATGCTTGGAGTTTATTGACCTGTTGAAATGTTAATTCTGTTTTCTTGCTACAGATGCTGCGAGATCTGCTGATCTTCTCCAGCAATTTCTGTTTTTGTGTGTTACTCATCAAACCACAGCTGGAATACTGTGGATAGTTTTGATCCCCTTGTTTAAGCAAAGATCTAATGGTATTGGCGGTAGCCCAGAGAAGGATCACCAGATTGATTCCTGGTATAAAGACATTGTCTTATGAGGAGACGTTGATTGATCAGGCCTGTACACATTCTAGTTTAGAAAAAATGAGAGGCAACATTATTAAAACATGTAAGATTCTTAGGGGTCTTATCAGGGTAGATGCAGAAAGGTTGTTTCCCCTTGTGGGAGAGTCCAGGACCAGATGACATAACCTCAGAGTAAAGTGTAGCCCATTTAAGACAGAGGCCAGGAAGAATTCCTTCTCTCACAGAAAAGTGAATTTGTGGAAATCTTTACCACAGAGATCTACCAGGTTTTCTGAAAGAGTTCAGAAAAGATTGACAAGGATGTTGCCATGGTTGGAGGGTTTGAGCTGCAGGGAGAGGCTGAATAGACTGGAGCTATTTTCCCTGGAGTGTCGGAGGTTGAGGGGTGACCTGAAAGAGGTTTATAAAATTCATGAAGGGCATCGATACGGTAAATAGACAAGGTCTTTTTCCCAGGGTTTGGGAGTCCAAAACTAGAGCGGGCATAGGTTTAAGGTGAGAGCAGAAAGATTTATAAAGAATCTAAGGAGCAGCCTTTTCACACAGAGCATGGCACATGTATGGAACGAGCTGCCGGAGGAAGTGGTGGAGACTGGTGCAATTACAACATTTAAAAAGCATCTGGATAGATATGTGAATGGGAAGGGTTTAGAAGGATATGGGCCATATGCTGGCAAATAGGACTAGATTTATTTAGGATATCTGTTTGGCATAGACGAGTTGGACTGAACAGCCTCTTTCCATGCTCTACAGCTCTGGCTCAATAACTCTAAGTTCCCCTCCAAACCACTCACCAGTCATCATCCTGGTTTGGAAAATATTGCCCTTCCTTCAGTCTCTTCCCTCACTAATAGCTGGAATGTGTCCATATGGTATGGCTAAAATAGCTTACCACCCCCTTTTCCTAATAAATGCTGACCTTCCCATTGATAGCATATTCTATGAGTGGATTAAAATAAATTCCAGCACAGAAATTGATCATTTGACCCACATTTAAAGGCAGTAGGCAGAGTCTTAGTGTGACACAACATTTCAAAGGATATCACCTCGAACAGGGTGGTGTTCCCTCCAGACAATGTTTAAACAACAGCCTTGTTTTCATGTTGAGCTCGGACTCTGGTGTGCATATTACCGAGTTAAGAGATTAGCACACTATGCTTTTGAAATGTGACAATGAAGCAAATGTGCTTTATTAACGACTTTTATGCTTTTCTTAATCCGTTGCCTTTAATTGCTCTTAACATACATCTAAAACTGTTCTCAGCATCACGCAGCATTTAATGCAATGTATGCGTAAACCCAAGACTTCAGAAA